ATATTTGCTCAAACAGTGTCCATGCGTAGCGACTCGGTGTCTGTAAACAGTCCTGTTTTCCTGCTCGGCCAGAAGACCCCACAGCCATGGGAAAGGACAAGTACAGAATGCTGGTTACCCAGTTTTAGAGAACAAACTCTTTTTCTCTCATTAGGAAATTCAGTTGCAGTTTTTGAAGCTGTTTTTGATTTCAGGTTGTTTCCCAGCTGCTATAAAGTATCCATTTCCTGTAAACCTTGAAATAATTAAATTGTTTCTTTATCTGTTGGTTGAGTTCCAATGTCATATCGGTGCAGTGTCTGTTACGGGTGATATTTGGAAGCTAAATTCTACAGCTTGCAGGGTCTGATACTGTAACTTAATAGAGTAATTGCTGTTGTAGTGAGAAGAATCTCTTCTGAAATACTTTCCTGCAAGATCAACACGTATCACTGAAAATCGCATTTTCTTGTGGTTTTAAGTAGTGTTCCTCCGCAGAGGAAGGACAGGTATGACTCTGGAGCCTGCTGATACTCCAGTGATGATGGGGCATTGTTTGCATTAGAGCTTGGGAGTGACTTTTACAAAGTAATCCTTCCTTAGGTTTAAATGTTGAGATCCCTGTACATTCAGGATTCATATTCAGGATTCATCGTTCTGCTCCGTTGTTTCGGTAGCTCCAGGGGCTGTCCTTTCACTGCAGTGCAGCCCCGATGCCGCTTCGCTGGGGAGCAGCTGAGAAATGAACACACTAATGCTGAATTTTGGAAAGGAAGAAGGGTGGGAAAGTCTGGGTGTGTTAACCATGATGACAGCGATAGACTCGGAAGGAAGAAGCTCTCGATGATGTAAGCTCTCTGGGAGGAGAGCACGCTCTTGTGTTTTAAGACTGTTGAGAGTAACAATTCAGAGAAGCAGTAATCCTTGGTTCTGCAGCCTGTATGGGAAGGTCGTGAGGCAGGTGTAGCAACTGTCCCGACTGTGAAGCGTAGGCTGGCATCGAGGGCTGTTGTACGCAGCTGAGCTCCAGAGAGGAAGGACTTAAAAACAAAAAAATAAAATAAAAAAAATCGAAACTTTTCTTTTACTGACAACTCCGAAATCCAATGTAAGTAGAGTGTTTTGAGGTTCATTAATTAATCCCTAACTTCTGTCAGGTAACAAAATGAAGTACAGTGACGACCCACCCTCTTCAGTTAGTGCCTGTGGAAGCGAGAGTATCGACAGCTTTAGGAGCTGCTGCAGCCAGGGCCCGGCTGCTGTGAGGAGTGGTACAGCGTGGGCAGGCTTTGACCTGGAGGGCTCCATGTGGAGGAGATAAGAGAGACCAGACACTGTCATGCAGCTTTTGAATTCTGTTAATACCGTGTCTGGATCTCATTAGTACCTCTTTGGTGGGATAGTTGTACCAAGGTATCAGCAGAGAACTTCTGCTGCTCAACACTAGCAAAGCTGCATTTTTGCTGCTATGCCTTGTCTCAGCCCTTCTGAGAAAAACAAACTGTCCTGGTAAGAACATTCCTTGTCTGTGTACAGGTGAGGACTTTACTGGCTGCGTTGGTCAAGCATTGCATCCTGCTGTAGACCCAGGCGGATGTGACCGTGACGAGAAGGCGGTAGTGTTGTCATGGCTTAGTGCTCCAGCACTGTGACAGGGAGTTCTTCCTACTGGGAACAGGGCTCAGGCTCACAAACAGCCTTTGTTAACTCACCCTGCAGTCTGTAGATCATCAACTTCTGAGTGGTGTTTGTAGATGGAATCAGAACGGGTGAGTGCGAACGGCCTGGTACAGTACCTTGTAGTCGGCCAGATGCACGCATGTAACATCCCAGAGAATAAACAAACCTGGGGGTCCCAGCGATGTGCGGCACAAAATAGGCTGGTTTGTGTCCCAGGTTTTCAAAGTGTGGAAGCTCTTCTAAGGAAAGAGTAAAAGTTGCCAGTGGGATAGGAAAAGGTCTGTTCTTATGTCACAGGTGGGATAGGGTAATGGTTTTTGGGGCAAAACCCTTTTGCTTAGGCTGTTGTACAATTTCAGTGCTTCTCAAACTGAGATGTTTGGCTGTGGATTATATGAGCAGCTTTCTAGTGTTCTGTATGCAGCCTTACCTGACGTTGTGGCTCAGTTTTAGAGAAGTCTTCAAGGAAGATTGAAGTGAATTCGATATACCAGCCTGGCAACGGATCAGAATTTCTGTAACGGTGTCCACAGTGATTGCCATTCACCTGCTGCCAGAGGATGCACTGGATGGTCAGACTGTGTAGCCCACAGGGCACGGTAGTAGGAGAGAGGGCTTTTTCCTCCCTTGTGCAGCAGTTGAGGCACAATTTCTCAGTCTGTACCTGGTGAGTTGTGTGACTAGAAGGTGATTACACAGATGTACAGTTTCAAGGCAGTCTTCTGAATGTAACTATCCATTGCAGATTTGAAAATAAGGGTTCGTGGAGGCTCTAAATCTGGTGGTGTTGGCTGGAGGAGGAGGAGTTGTTCTGGTAGTGCAGTGAGGTTTTTTTTCCTCTTACACCATGAGACAGTTGCTTGTTAGAGGAGCTGTACTGTCTAGTGAAATGAGCAGTCTGCCGGGGTGTTTGACATTGTAAGTAAGGTCAGAGAAGCTGCACCGGGAGAAAAAAAAATCTTTTCAACAAATTATTCTTTTCTCTTCCCTCTGGAGAGACATAGTGTCCGCTCGTAGTTGGATTTAGCAGCAGGAAAACATAAAGCATAATTATTCAAATGCCATGTGACATTAGCAAAGTTATATTCTTAACAAAGCACAGAATGCTGGGTAGTTTCTTGTTTTATAGTTTCGCTTTCTGCAGGTTGATTTTTGCTTTTTATAGTTCTGGTGTGGCTGCACCATCCTGGCGTGATATCCTTCAGCAGATCCCTTGTTTAACATTCTGGGGCTTAGTTCTACCAAATTAAATGGATGGTCTTGCTTTCAGAGTGTGTGGGTGAAAGAACGTGATTTAATTACTATTAAAACAGCAACAATAAAAAACTGGGGAGTTGATAGTAATTCTAAAATTCCTTAAGCTATTTCTGCTTTGACTCTGTCCATCCAGTAATGGGTGAGCCAGGATGAGTGAAGTGCTGTTGCAGCTTCTCAAGATCAGTTGAATTTTTTTTCAAGTGTTCAGAAGAAAATAAAAGATTTAACCTGGTTTTTGTAACAAATGAAAGTGGCCTAGGGTGCAGTTTCGTACTTGTGTGAGAAGCCTGTTGTTTGCTCTTCAGTTTGGCAGATGTAAAGTAACAATTAATTGGTAAATAGTGCGCACAGTCCCACTTGCCCTTCCTGGAATGGGTGGTGGTTTGGTGTTTTGACCTTGATGCGCTGTCCTGCGTGCTCCGTGTGCTGTCCCCTCCGCAGTCACGCTGCTGTGGTGGCTCTGTGGCCGGTGGGCAGAGAGCTGCGGGAGAGAAGGGATGGGTTTGCAGCCACAAGATTTAAAAGTTACTGCAGTTAGTGAATTTAGCTGCGTAACATTGTGCTATGGTTTCCCTAAGTCGCTTAATTACAATGACAAACGTGCCCCTAGTTGATTGCACAGGGCAATAAAGGTGAATACAAACCTGAATATAATCGGAATATGAAGTCTGCAAAACATACAGTAAATTCTGATCGCGTTCTTACTTGTTACTGTTATAACTTCAGTTGGTTTTTGCCATCTCAGAGGGGGGAAGTGTTCTTAGTGTTTTGAAAACTATTAGATAAGGTATTGAGATGCATTGCATCGGGAGAGGGAGAGTTTAACGTGGGCTGGGTTATATGCAGATTCTTATTATGAGAAGTGTCTGTGGGATGTGTTAATGTCATTTCAAACCCTGACCAAAAGGGCACAGTAACACTCCTTTATGCCTACACAGAGACAGAATAAATAATACAGAGCTGTGTTTACTTTGGAAGGGCTAAACTGACCTTGCTTGGAAGCCAACTTGTATTTCTTACCTGAATTTTAGGTCTTTCTGTATTTCTGCTTGTTGAGTGTTGAGATTAGGTGAATGCAAAAGCCGCCTCTGAGCCAGTAGTTGAATCTTGGAAATCTAAATTTGATTTAGTCTGATTTTGGTGTTTTGATATGCAGTGGAAAATTGAAAATGTGTATGACAGCTTTCTTGGCTATAATCTAATTCTGTGAATAATCTCAGGTTTTGGAGATCTTTTGGTGCTGAGGCCGTTTTTCTCTCCCTCAGAACCACGTAGTGTTTAAGCCCTAAGTGTTTCATATTAAAATAAGGTGGAGAGCGAGGAGAGTAACCCTCCTCTCTTAGCTGCTGAGAGCCAGCGGGTGCAAACTCTGCTCTGCTTTTCTGGGGAGGGAGGAGGCTGGGAAACCCCGTCTGCGGCTGTGGGCAGCGTGAGCTGGGTTTCCCAGCAGCTGAGGTGGAATGACCTGTTCGCCGTAACTGTGCCATCGTTCAGCAAAGCCCATGGCGTAGGTCTGCTGCAGGCTGAAGGGCTGCTCGTCTGTCTCCAGGTTTGGCAAGGAGGTGGGGAGGAAGAGAAGAGGTTTCTCTCCTGTTTGAGTGGGCTTTCTGTGTTTTTCTGGCTTGTTCAGCTTGCAGTGACTATGGTGTCAAGAGAACGTGGAATCTTCTCTATGCTGGAGGGTCAGAGTCTGCTGCCTTACTGCTTTGCGTTAGAATAACGCTTCCTAGCACCAAAGTAGGAGGGCTGTGGAGAGTGGTTGGAATTTTGGCACCGTTATTCTGACTTTGTAACACTTCGGCTCATAGTTTTTAAGCACTTGTAGGTGCTTATAACATTTCTTTAAATGTCTTCGAAAAGAAGATAGTGGTCATGCAAAAAAGCTGTTCTGCAGAAATGTGTAAAGAGCCCTTTTTAAAGATTCAGTGATACCAGTCCTCTCTCAATCCATGGGAGGGTGGCTGCTGAATGCAGAGGGGGAGGGTGGTCTTTAGATCTCTTTTTTTCTCAACGGTTTAATTTGCTTAATTATTATCTTTCGATTTGTACTGACTGCTTATTTCCCTTCCCCTGCCTTTAGGCCCTATGAGAAAAAGGGAAAGCTAAGGATGCTGGAGCAGAACAATGGATTTCTCTTTCTCTTTCATGCAAGGGATCATGGGAAACACAATTCAGCAACCACCTCAGCTCATTGACTCAGCCAACATCCGCCAAGAGGATGCCTTTGATGCCAGCAGTGACATTGCTGAAGATGGTGGACAAACGCCATACGAAACTGCCCTGCAGCAAGGCTTTCCGTACCCCACGCCCACGGCGGAGGACCTCCCGCCCATCACGAACGGCTACCCACCCACGATCAACGTGTACGAACCTCAAGCCAAATACCAGACGTACAGTCAATATCCCAATGGTTCAGCCAATGGTTTTGGTACAGTCAGAAACTTTAGTCCCCCGGAGTATTACCAAATGGAAAACTCTAATGCAAGGCCGCACGAAGTTCTGGAAAAACCTTCCCCTCCACAGCCGCCGCCTCCACCACCACCTTCAGTTTCACAGACGGTGATTCCAAAGAAGACTGGCTCACCAGAGATCAAACTAAAAATAACCAAAACTATCCAGAACGGCAGGGAATTGTTTGAGTCCTCTCTGTGTGGGGACCTTTTAAATGAAGTACAAGCGAGTGAGTATGCTAAGGCGAAACATGAAGGGAGAAAAGAGAAAAGGAAAAAAAGTAGCAAGCATGACTCTTCCCGGTCGGAAGAGCGCAAGTCACACAAAAATGCAAAATTAGAACCAGAGGAACAAAATGTAAGTGGAATAATAGTTTCAGCCATCTGCATACCTGATACTGTTGATGGAGTATGCGTCCTGGGCAGTGTTTTTCCTTACTTTTGGTTGTATACGTACTTAAAGTCACGAGACTTTGTTTACTGGTCTAATACTCTATATTAGGTTGCTAGGAACTGTATTTCTAGCACAGCACAGTTTGGGCGAAAAGACTGCATATAGAAAATAAATGTTAGGAAAGGTTTTATAGTATTTTTTAATATTACTTGGGGTTTTAGCATGTTCAGAGTTTGCCACACTTTGGACAGTGTTGAAGATGGAGCTTTTGACCAAAAGCGTACACATTCCTAAAACTGCCTCTCAGAATAATGCTGGGTTATTCAGTGGAAGGTTGGGTTATTTGGAGTATTCAGCACTGCAGCTTTTAATTAAGTTTTGAAAGATATTCTAAATACTGTGATGATGTACAAAACCCAAGAGCTATGTAGCACGTGTAGAAGCCAGTAGAAATTAGTGTTCTAAAACAGCAGGCAAATTGGAAGTACCAGTTGACTCAGCAAACTTGGGGAAAATTCAGTATTGATGTCTATTACTGTTTCTGCCAAGTGTTGTAGTGTGGTTGTACGTATGCAGGGTGTGTGTATATATGTGGCGTTTTAACTTCGTTTCCGGAAGCAGAGACACAAATTACTGGTCTTTGGTACTCTGACATTCTTCTTCTTCAGTTTTATAAGCCTCTTCATTACTTCTGTTTCCTTTTCTCTTGCTTATTCTTGCCAACTCTGTAATACTCATTTCTGCGTTTCCTGGCTGGAGGGGAACGGGTGGCAGAGGGGGGTGGCGAGCGTCGGGAATGGGGAAGTTGCCGTATCAGGCTGGGGCGGAAATCGCCCGGCTCGGGCTGGGCTGTTACCGTACGTAGCTGAGTTTCTTGGAAGCTGCTGTGAAACCCCTTGATACTTGCTGCTTTTGGTAGGTTTGGGAGAAGATCCTGTCCTGCAGGGATCACGATTCTGGTCTCATATAGCAGGTTCATATGCTTGATTTAGTGTTGTTATTGCTGCTGTTGTTATTTTTTGTGGAAGACAGGCTGATTTACAGGCAGCCCCCTTACCAGGGATATTTACAAATTTTGTAACTGTTACATCTCCCTTCTGGTAAGCAGACCTCTTCCACAGGTCAGGTTGGTGATATATCAAGATTTTGAGCTTCTGCTATATTTGATTACCATAGTTGACTCTAACGAAGCTCAGTAAGATCTTAATAAACATTGTAACACACACTTGGAACGGACTATCCAATTAAAATAGGAGCCGCAGCTGCCGTGGGGCCGCGTCTCCTGGCGCCTGCCTTCTGCCCGCGTGTGGAGGTGGGCAGAGGGGTCTGTTCTCATCGTCAGCTCTCTGCTGAAAGCCTCTGCTGCCCCTGTGTTGTTCGTCCACCTGTCCTTCGTTTGCTGCTGCAATCATATGTTTGTCCCCCAAGTTTCACTTAAATCAGAGCTCAGGGAGTTTGGTTCTTTCAGTGTTCAGCGAAACACAAGCTTTTATCCAGGCTTTCTGGCGTCTTCTCCAGATTTGCATCACCCCCGCATCGGGCTGTCAGTGTTCCCTTACCATTTTGTTCTCCCTCTTACCGGGGACTCCTGATTCTACTCTTGAAGCTTCAGCTGTGCCTGTCGCTCGCTTTGACTGGTGTTACCTGGTTATCATGAGAACATAATCTTCTTTCCTGGTGTGCTGTCTTTCCCAGGTTGAACTAAAACCTTGCCTCTCAGATTCCAAGTTCGTAGTCATACGTGTCATCCAGAATTCACAAGAAATCTTGGTCTTGCTTTTGTCCTCCTTGTAGCCTCCATTTCCCTTTCGGAAGGTGTTGTTGCAATGAAATCTTTCATGTTATTCACCCTTGTTTCAGACAGCAGAGCACTCTGACATGAACAGGATTTTCTGCTAGTGGCTTTCATTATGAGTTATCCAGTGCAGTCTCAGTTTCATCCTCCCACCGTTTGGCTTTCCGCTACACGATTTCATCTTCATGTATGTTCATCATGTACATTTTTGTCATCTTTAGTGTTAATGGTATGAGACTGGTAACTTAGGATAGTCTCAGTAGGAACAAACAAGGCTTCTGGTACAACAGTTGTTCTACACTTTTGTGCTCAGCGTGGCAGTTTGAAAGTAGGGTGATGTGCAGTCGTTTCCTCGTTCTGACACTGTAATCTCTGTGGCAGCCTGCTGGCTGTGCGCTGTGTTCTTATATGAAGGGGTGATGTGAAATGAAAATGTTATGAAAACATTGTTGAACTTTTAGCTCTGAAAACTTGTTTTAAGAATAAGCTGCTCTGCTTGTTCATTGTATTCTGCAAGGAGCTGGGAGCTTGCAATCTGTACGATCAGCTTGGCTCTTCGGGCAGAGGTCAAGTTTCCACTAACTCGCTGTAGCGAAGGAAAGGCAGGAGTCATTGCCGTGCTCTCTGCTGTACCAGGGAGGAGTGATTTCTGCCCAGCAAATAATTATATGGTTGGTCTTAAGTGATCGTTTTCTCCAGACAGCTCTAAATGAGACACTGACCTGTGCCCGAGCTGGCCTTATATGTGTGTTGCCTCGTTTCTCTGAGCTGAAGCATGCGGTATTGACTAACATGGGGTCTTCGTTTTAAATGGACTAGGTATAATTTGGATTAACAGCATTATTAGTTTCCACTGCATGTGTCTGACTCCTCTTTTTGCTGCGCTTCGTGTCCCTTGACTAATGAGTTCTCCTCTGCAGCAGTGAAAGCAAGCGTCTGGTCTCGTTAGGTAGCTCATGGCCCATCTCTTGTCTTCTCACCCACTGCATCATCCCACTCCCTGTCGTGGCCGCTCCACCGACGACGTTAGCTTCTGTTCAGTGGTGATCCCTCTTCTGTCGGAGCCTTTTCCTGTCCTACTCTGCTGCCATAGGCCGCGTGCGTGCCTCAGCCTGGCTTCTAAATGCATCGTAGGCTTTATGTTGCTGACTTTCGATCCTCCAAATATATTTGTCAACTATATGCAATTTAACATTGACTTTACATTTTTCCTACTGTATATTTAGTATTATTTTTATAATGTAGATTTTTGCAAACAACTAGTGGTATACAGTGAGACTCATCACGTTACTATCGATATCCTTCACATGTTCTTCTCTCTTTCTTTGAAGTTGTGTATTGATCTAGGTGGAAAGTTATTTGGATTTACTGTCCCTGAGTGTATGATGTTCTGTCACCTGTTATGGGAGAACACTGTTGTATGTAGATGTGATGGTAATGTAAATAGTGTAGAGAAAAAAAGGATTTTTTCATTGTGATGCTACTGTGTTTCAAATTGGGCATAAGGAGGCATGATACTCATATTTTCTGGTTTCATGGTCGACTTTGTGAATTATTTTTTCTGCCTGGTTTCATTATTATGCTTTTTTTGGGGTTTATTGTCCCCTTACCTTGTTTGTGTTTGTTTTCCTTTTTTCTCTTCGTTGTTACCCATTTCCTAGAGACCAAACGAGAGGCTTAGCATGCTATCAGAAAGACCAAGAGACGATGCAGTGTTGGAGGAAACCCCGGTTAGTACATAACTATAATTAACAGTTTTTGAATTTCTAGCATGTTACTATTTTTGGACTAATTGTTACATGGATTCTTTAATTTCTCACATAAATCAGTTGCCTTTTCTTTGAAACTCTTATTAATCATTACTGCATCAAAACATCTCTCATTGTACTGCATGTATTGCTTTATTTTATCCCAAAAGCAACGTCCTTAATCAACTTGTGAACCCGGAACTTCTTTAGGGAGTGGGGGGAGTTTGCAGTTGTGTGTCTTGGTTTGTCGGTGACTATGGTGTGTAAGTCATACTTGTATGTAACTCCGTTCTGCCATGTTTCTAAGAAATTAAATAAGTCCCTGTGGATCACATGGGCATCTGTAAGTGTGCTAAATTGTCTTCTGTGGCTTCAAGCTTGCATTTTCTTTGTAGGTGCAGCAGTTCTTGCCTTCTCTTCCGACACAAGTCACCCATGACATCAAGTTTCAGGTTGGCGATCTGGTTTGGTCCAAGGTGGGAACATACCCGTGGTGGCCTTGCATGGTTTCATGTGATCCACAGCTTGATGTTCATACCAAAATTAATACAAGAGGTAAGGGAGGAAGATCTTTACCAGACTATATCAGGTGTCAGTAGTTGTTCCTTTATTAAAAATATATTATCTTCGAAGTCCCTTTGCAGGATGATTTCTGCTCATGTGTATGCTAAACAGGACTGTTCCTGAAATGTAGAAAACTAGTACTTATGAAATTACCTCTGCAGGTGAGCCTGTGCAAACTAGGCTTGTGCACAGATGTGCCCACTTTTCCCAAGTCAGTGTATTTACGAGAAGACACTGCTAAGCGTGAGTGTTCAGCGTGGGCAAGGTGCACTTATCTTCCCATCTTAAACTGCTCTAAATCTAGGCCCGGCTTATTTGTGAACTTTAGCTAGGTACTTCCACCTGCAGGAGCTGAGTGATGTGGAGGAGGAAAGCCAGCAGGCGATGCTGATAAAACTGCTAACTAGAATTTTTCATTTTCAGGTGCCCGTGAATACCACGTTCAGTTTTTTAGCAACCAGCCAGAGAGGGCGTGGGTGCACGAGAAGCGGGTTCGAGAGTACGAAGGACACAAACAGTATGAGCAGTTACTGGCTGAGGCTGCAAAAGCAGCCAGCAACCACTCTGAGAAACAGAAGGTATGATGAACACTAATCGTGTAGAGGGTTATCTATGGTGCCAGTGTAAGTGAAACTCTCGTGGGGCAGTTCTGAAACTCTGTAGTAGTTTACCCTGTGAAGCGTTCCCTGCATTTCACTGGCAGAAGTGTTTTTCACAAAGATACCACAAATGTTTCATGCTCTTATTTGTGTGAAAAGGCTGATAGCTGAACCAACTTTCAGTTCCTCGTGACGGGTGTCATCCTGGGCATTGGAGATAACTTTACATCCGTATGAGAATGTTAAAGAAAAATAGTACCTGTGTGTTCACTATTAACCTGTTCTTTGGAAAATACTTTTTCCAAAGGCCGCTTTTTTTCCAGCCCCTGATACTAGGGAATGAGGTGTTTTCCATGGTTTTATTGGAAAGGAAGTGTTAGCTACAGGAATTACTTAGTGTGTAGATGCACCACTTCAGGCATTAGTTCTGCTAATCAAAATATTGATGTGGAAGGAAAAGAATGTTTGTAGGAAAATAAGGAGAATTTAAAAAGTGGATAAATTAGGATTAATTCCCATAACATAATTATGGGCTTGAATACTGCCTGTTCTCGTCTTCAGTTAAGTCATATCTCAGGGCAGAAACTTTTAGTAGTGATGGTCATATGATCCAGCCCGAGTGTCTGCTTGTACTCTGTGCAGGGGATTCACTGTCCATCTTTCAAAAATCCCCTGTAAATGGAGTGCAAACTGAAATCTGCTGCCTGAGAGATTTGAAGAATCTCAGGATTGCATTTAAAGTGCTATACGTGGCAAAATCTGAAGTGTAATCAGCTGCTTGTCTTTGTTCCTTAAGATTCGCAAACCAAGGCCGCAAAGGGAGCGTGCTCAGTGGGATATTGGGATTGCCCATGCTGAGAAGGCATTGAAAATGACTCGGGAGGAAAGGATAGAACAGTACACCTTCATTTATATAGACCAAGAGCCAGAGGAGGTTTTGTCAAAAGCCAAAAAGACTGCTGCTTCTAAATCAGAGACCAAGAAGAACCGGCGACCGAAGCCAGGGGTGAATGCCCAGCCAGAACATGCCAGCGTGGTAGCAGGATCGCCTTCAAGCGCTGAGGTGCGAAGACAAAGCCAACGGAGGCAGTCCAGTGTGGAAGAGGAGGAGCCGCCTCCTGTGAAAATCGCATGGAAAACAGCTGCAGCTAGAAAATCCTTACCAGCTTCAATAACCATGCACAACTTGGATCTTCAAAAATGTAACATGTCTCCAGTTGTTAAAATTGAACAGGTTTTTGCCCTTCAGAATGCTGCTGGGGATGGAAAACTCATCGATCAGTTTGTTTATTCCACTAAGGTGTGTACTTTGCTTAGCGACTCCTCTCTTTTTCATAAATTATCCCAAGTCTGTCTTACTGTGCAGCTTAAACTTGTGTCCACCAAGCTTTCACAATACATGTTTCTTTCACTGGAGAGATTAAATCTAACAGAAGACAGATGTGACCACAGAATCTTTCAGTGCTCTGGACTCTGAATTTCAGTGTGGCCAAAAGTCTGGCAGTGACCATTTTGACTGGGGGCAGAGGAGCTCCCTACAGATGGCCACATTTTTGCTCATAGTGCATTCAAAATACACAAGCTGTTTAATTCCATCTTCCTAGTTGAAATAATCCAGAAATTCTCTGTAAATCTTAAAATCACTGGATTTGTGGGAAACAGGAGATGACAAAACTGTTAATAATGTACTAAAATGTCATAACTACTTGAGTTCTACCTCCTAGCTTCCTTCAGGTGCACAGCAGCTTTTCACAGTCAGTGTAAGGAAAAGGTTTAGGACTATTTCTCTGCCTCCTTCTTCTGCCTCTCTACCTGGAGGGTGTTTATTTCATCCTAAGCGTTATAGAGAAGGTAATGTTTAGAAAAGTCACTGGGGGTTTTGGTTTGTTTTTTCCTTCTTCCTTGTATGTAAGGGGAGATTGAGAGGGATTGAAGGTTCTGCAGGGAAGCAGCTCAGTAATAGATACGATCACGTGTATGTGTTGCCTTGAAGAGTGTTGAATGTTTCTGTTCTGAGATTTAGGAGTAGGTCAGTGTGCCAGTTAGCAACAACTCATCTATGAATAGGTTAAGACAGTCTTTTCTTTTTTTTTCTTTTTAAGGGAGTTGGTAACAAAACAGAAATAAGTGTCAAAGGACAAGAGAAACTTAATTCTTCCTCAAATCAGAGAAATGAAAAAACAGCGGTGCAAAATGCGTCCTCTCCTGAAACAACTTCTGGGTCAACAGGTAGGCACAATTGCTGAATCCTTGTCTGAACTTTAGCAGTCTAGCGTTTAAATTCAAGTATCAGAACAGACATTTTTTCGTTGGTTAAAACCGATTATTAACATGTTTCTGTTTACATAATAGCTGTAGCACGCATGGCTGATACAACACATGATGAGCCCAGATGCTTAAGAAAGACAGGATGTCTTTGTGATGGGATTAGCTGGTTTGGCCTCTGGACTTTTAGAATCTGCAACTTACAGTATCTAAGTCAACATATTAGAAGCGTGGTTGCCTTGTGGAGAGCAGATGGCAGATGATTTCGGAAGACAAGGTAGTGGATGTGTGTTAGAGTATTGTCAGGGCTTTGGGCACCAAATGTAAAATACAACAGCTGGGATCAAAGGACGAGAGTCTGGAAGTGGCATGGTGCAGTAAGGAGTGGCTCTGAATCAGGGTGGCTGCTTTCCTAGACTTTGTTGTTGAGTTCCTGCATGACCTTTGTAAAAGATGGTATTTTTTTAAACTGCTTCGACTAACTCCATCAGCAAAATGAGATAACTTGCCTTCTGAAGGCATTTTAGGGGCCCCATCATAAAGCACTAAGTTTTGAAGTATTATGTCTGAGGGAGAAGAACCGCTGAAGCAAATAATGGAGCTTGAGTGTGAAAAGGAAAAGCCTGGAACAAGCTGTTTGAAGTTTATTTTGTAGTGCAATACTAGAGAAGAATGAGAATGATAAACCAGATGAGTGCTTTCTAGACTTGGAACAGAGAACCAATGTTTTTTTCATGTTTTGATTTTTGAGAAATGGCTAATGGGAATTCTTGCAAAGGGATTGAGCTTTTCCTCCCCAGCAGAAATTTGTCTGCAGTATGTCCTCTCATCATCCTCAGGAGGAGGCAGATACCCTTTGGTGAAAGGATGGAGGTTCCTGAAAAGAGACAGTTTTGAGTCACCCTGTACCAGGAGCGTTTCAAGTTCCTCAGTCCCTGTAGTGACTTCTGTTTTTCAACCACAGATTTTGTACAGGCCATGTAAAGTCCATTAACTATTGCATGTTTGTTACTGTGCTTGTAGTCATATCCTTCGTATAGTCTCAAACGTAGTTAGTTTTACATTGGGTGTGTAAAAGTACATCTTAGGTTGCAGCAGAACACGTTGATTTTCTCTCACAGTAGGATGTACAAATGCTCATGGTATGGAAGCAGATAAAGATGGAAGACTTCTTACAGTAGACATGCTAAAACCCCCTCTTTTCTTCTTGAGAAAAAGATCTCATAAGTTACTAAGTGTCACTGGTGCTTTAACTATCCATGTGTTTGGTTATTTCTCCCTTTCCAAATGCAAAATAAATGAGATTCCAGGACAAAACCTCAGTGGTCAGCGTACATGGGATCACTGTCTTCTGCAAACACGCTTCGATGTCTGTACTTGTGTAGTTTTTCGGTAGGCTTATTTGTATGTACGTTGTTTTATGGGCTGTGTTTGGGGACTTTGCAATACAGGCTGAGTACTCTGGATGTGCTGGTCTAAGTGGGGTTTCCTCTGCTGTTGGCAACAGTGGTTCTTCTCTCCAGTTTTAGCTGCTGTAGCTACTGCATTTTTTTCAAACGGTTGCTACTGTAATTGCCTTGCAGCAGGAGAGGTGATCGCTGTTTTGTTTCTCTCACCTGGGAACTAAAGGCTTCACCTTCGCAATGGCTCTTCAGACGTAGGGGGGTGAGAATTCTGAGCCTCTCTTTTTTCATTTTCTTAGGTTTTTTGGATACGTAAAACTCCACCTGATAACACCCTATAGAGTGCATGAGCTTTACTTCAGTATACACTCCAAACAGTCACTTTCAAAGCCATTTCCAAAGTCCAGACAGTTATTGGTCCCCTCTCATGGAACATAACTGCGAAGTCCTTTTTTCAAATTTAAGGTCACCGGAACTTCAGAATACCTTTACGGTAAAGTATTTTACAGAATGACTCTGGGAGTCCTTATTAATAACCTGCAGTTAGATAAACAGAATTCCATAATGCCGGGAAAATAATTCTGTAACTTGAAATCTGATGAGAAGAGAACAGCTATGAGAATTCACAGAGCGTCTGGTCTCCACATACAGCTGAAACAGGATTAACCTGACCTGATCGGGCTGGTGGTGAGGTAGATTGCTGGTCTGAAATCTCTTCTGAAACTCTGTCTCAAAGCATGCGTGAAGACGGGATAGGAGCGTTGTGGAGGTGATGCACTGGATCCTGGGAGAGCGGGAAGAGGGAAGAGCATTGATCAGTATTGCTTTCGGCCAATATTAGATGCAGTGATTCTGGAATTTCTCCTCTGATACAGGAGGATCTTCCATCTCATTTCTCTTGCTACAGTGGGGCAGCACAGGGAGAAAATCCATCATTGATAAAGTGAACTGTTTGATCACACTTGCTCAAATTTACTTCAGGCCGCTTCAGAGAGGCAAAGGTGACAAAAGACGGCTCCTAGCTTTAGTGCTGTCGTCCGTCGTAGCTGTGCGTGCCTCTCCAAGGGTGCGGCTCATTGCAGCCAAAAGTTACACCTGTGCTAACATGAAGGATGTTGAGCTATTAATTTCTGAATTTTATTAATAACTCATTGCTATTATTAGTGAGTTAGTGTGCTGTAAAACTTTTTTTACCTTGAAGAAAAACAGTTGATTCTTTTTCCCTCAGAAATACAGTTTATTGTAAACTGATGACTTTTTGAACTGGAAATTTTAGTTACTGAGGTATTCCTGGGCCACACAACCTTGATAAAAATGCTCATCTGATTAATAAAGACGAATCTTCTTTTTTTCTGCAGTCCTTTGGAAGGCTTTCTTTCAGTGCCTGGTGAAAGCCTGTCTATCTCTCTAGCTATTTTATCTTCTAACTACAAGACGCAGGTTTACAGCTTCTAACAGTGTATCTGTCTGGCACAGTCAGCTGATTCCCGGTTCCAAGAGCTTGTATGTTTGCTTGGAAGAATACGAATTATTTTACATTCGCATTGTCCTTAGGTGACGCCCAAAACTGAAAGACGACAGTAGTGCTTCATGACAGACAATTGTAAATCTGCGGATTCCGGTTTTCTGTCAGTACAGCTCCAAGCGTGTGCTTTGTTTCGGAAGTGGCACGTGGTGTTCAGCGTTGTGTACGCGTTTCTCCAGATGCCCTTTCTGGAGGTGCTGCAGCGTAGAAAGCTCTTCTGATTTTGCCAGCCTTAGTTGTCAAAAAACCAGTAGCTCGTACTTCATCCTTGAAATGTCACAGTAACCTTCATTAATCTGAGTTTGTTTTCCAAACGCTTGTTTTTCACTTTCATTAATTATAATAACACATCATGATCACTGCTTCTGTTTGTGCTGAGTTTTTATTCACCTCTCAAAAAGTTTAGCGGAGCGTTCGGCTCTCGTGTTGGTGGCACGTGCTATGGCGTGGTTCTTGCTTGACGTGTTTGTGTTAGCTGGTTCTGAGAGAAGGCTATTCCCGCAGGGCAGGGCCACAGGACTGGTGATCTGAGTGAAAACTTGGAAGCTGTGCTTGGCCTCTTAAATTCCTAGCTTGGTTTAATTAAAGAAGTTGATTGTGGATACCTTCCCGTAAACGCCAAAGATGGACTATTCGGTTAAAAATTAACCAAAGTGAAGATTGTGCTTGAGAGGTGTGTTACGAAAATCTGTTTGCCATAAACTGGATTCCAGCTTTTTGTTTCGCTCTGCTACTGGTGTCTTTTTCTGAAGCTGATCTCACTGTCTATGGAATCAGAACGAGTTGTCTGCAACCACAGCACCAGCTGGCAAATAGCTTGGAACTGAATGTAAAAATAAAACATTCAAAAGAGGAAAAAGTCTTGGTTTCGTTACTTGATCTGTTGCTTTGGTGTTGAACAGCTTGCTGTACCTCAGAAATACAAGGAATCATGTAATGGAAACCTTTTTCCTTCTTCAGGTTCTGTAGAAAAGAAGCAACAGAGAAGATCGATTCGAACCCGCTCAGAGTCTGAGAAATCCACTGAAGTTGTGCCAAAGAAGAAGATCAAAAAGGAGCAGGTTGGCTTCCTCCATGTAGAGAGTTAAAATATATTGTATTCATAAATGTGGTGGCTTATATTGGTGCCTTTTTATTTTTCTCCATTCCTCCCCATCGGGTTTCGTTTTGGACTATCCTTCATGAAATCCCCTTGTCAATGCCATTGCTGTGACTCTGCTACTGGCATCTTCACAGTATCAGTCAGGCTATGGAAATGGGAACTCAATGATGCAAGACTCCTAACGAACCTGCCACGTTTACTTTGAGATTTCTGTTATGAGCAAAATGATTTTGTTTCAGTAATTTCTATTTGATGGAATTGCCACCAGGTTCCTTCCTTTGGCTCTTGATTTAGCTGCTGGTTTGTATTGAGGTTTTGTTTTTCAGATGAAGTTAGACTGATTAATCTGACCACTTTTGAAAATGGACTTTAAGAGTGATTTAAGTTAAAGATGAATAGTCAGGCTTTTATGTTGGCACACATCAGCAAAACAGATCTTCTGGGATATACTTTTTTTTCTTTTTCTTCCTTAAGTAGATCTAACATGTACAGGGCATTCCTTTAATCTGGATGTCAGACAGACAAATGTTGTTGCTTTAAAAAAAATTATAAAAAATTCTGTGTGGAAATGAGTAGGAAAGTTCAGTGGGTGGACATTAATGTTAAAAACTGAATACACTTTTTTAACAAGTTTGTCAAAGTTGTTGGTTCTTTTCCTTACATGGTTGATTTTCCCTCTTCAAGGGCCTATCCACTTGAAACCTGAGAATTTTTTTAATATAAAATGTTCCATAGTATAGTTTTTGCCAGTGAGAATTTTTAAAAAAGGACAGTCAGGCGAAAGATTTATATAGGAAGGGGAAAAATTGTTTTTATCTCTCTTATTTTAATTTATTCTTTGCCCTTTACGCTTTGTTTTGCACTTCATTCCCTGCAGAGATTGAAAGTGGACCCAGTTGCGCTTTTTTTTTTCCCCATTTTTCTTTTGATGCCATAGCATTTACACTTGTGTTCAGCGGAAGAATGCTCTAACTCTAGAAAGTTTCTTGCTGAAACTTTAAAGGAATTTAGATGTTGGGCATAAGATACCTGACGTAGTCCCTTAAGCCTCGTCACGAGGTATTGCAGCCTCCCTATTTTCAAATGAGTTATTTTATTTTTGTAAATGTTTCTTAATTTAATAAAGGTATAAGAACCAACAATATGAACTTCATGGATCCCAGTTAGCTTCGCTTGCTTTTATTATCTAGCTAACTAAGACTATGAACATTAAAGTGCTTTTCTCAGGAAAAGTGTATGACTAAAAATTAAACACAGATGCACTGTAATGCGCATAACCTTGAATGTATTAAGTTATATTAAAAAAAAAAATCTTACTAACTTCATACAATTATGCAACAATATTTGTTACCCAAAGTCAAGTTTTCTTGCAACTGATTCCCAAATTAGTCTGCAGCAACTTGGTATAAAATTATAACTGGAACGAGTACAATTAATGGGAAAAACAAAATGTTAATGCTACTGTTACAGTGACCAGTGGAGAAATAAAAGTGATTGTTTAGATTTTATATTTGTATTACGAAATGTATCCTATACAAATCCTTCTATTGTATGTTTTTACCTATTGTACAACAAAATAAAATATTTTTTAAAAAAATTATAGAAAAATCCTTAAATATTTACTAAATGTGTTTCTACATGCATTTGTAACCACATTGTAAAGAAATAACTTGTAATTCTTAACCTTAAAACCAGGATTTTAGGCAACAGCTTCCTTCTAGCATTGTTACACAGTCACCAAATTCTCACGTGTTACGTGTCTGTTGGCAGAGCAGTTTCTAAACGTACCCCGCTGGTGTAGCGTGGACGGCGGTGCCGTCCGTGCTCCCAGCCCGAGTGTCGTGCCGGTGAGGGGAGCTTGTGCTGACGCAGGTGCGGGGTTTTGCAAAAGCCTCAGGGCTGGCTGCCAAAACGAACCCCGCTCCTGCCCGCTGGACACGGATAAAGCTTCCCTCTCATCTTCACGCCCAGAGGGAGTGGTGGGAAAGGACCCTGGTGGTGACCGCGTGGCTGCCTCATCTCCTGGGGTTCAGCGTAGGCAGCTAGGATGAAGTCCATCAGGACGAGAAGGCTTGCGCTGAGGAGGGGATGACAGACTGCGTCTGAGTTCAGAGATGCTAATCGCTTAAACTTAAATGTTTGCTTTTTGAGACTAGGGAGAAAAATTCCTCTGGTTTTAACTATGGATTTTCCTATTCAAACAGGTTGAAATGGTTCCACTGACAGCAGTGAAGACAGGATTGCAGAAAGGTGAGTTACGTACGCAGATAAACTTCATTACAAGTTCCTGGCTCGCACACTTCAGCAAGGGTTTTCGTGCTGGCAGAACTGCAGAGGTCTTAACGCTTTCTGGTGAGGAACACGATAGACGCTGATCTCAGCTTCTCTGGGGGGGGTTTCTGGGGTATTGTTGTTGTTCGTTAGTGCGTTGCTAGTTGGAAAGATAGTGATTGTCAGTGTGCAGTAAGCACATGATAGAAGTCCTTCTGGACATTTCTTAATTAAAAAAAAAAAATCTTTGCTTAGCCATACTTTAAAGATGAGTGGTCAAGAGTTAATCTCCTAAGGGTTTATCCTCTGTTGGAGACAATTTAGTAGCTTCCTCCACTATGTCAGCACGTTCAGAAGTTTGTCAAAAGCTCTTTCTCAGGTGGTTTGCAGTTAATTAGGCTTTCAGGGAGAATGAAACGAGTATCAAAGTTGCGAACTGAAAATTAAGGCTAGCAAATGAAATACAGTTTCAGGCTGTCCCTCATCTTTCTTTTTCCTTTGTAATTTTTAAGCAAAATTTGAGAACATATATTAAAACTAATTTTAGTATGTCGTGTTAAGGTGCCAGCGAGATTTCAGATTCTTGTAAACCTTTAAAGAAAAGGAGTCGTGCCTCAACGGACGTAGAACTGACTAGCTCAGCTTACAGAGATACGTCCGACTCGGACTCCAGAGGACTCAATGATTTACAGGTAAAGGCGTAATGCTTCTCACAGGCGCTTGGTTGGTTAATCTGTCAGTACAATGGGCTTTTCAGCTGCGTATTGCTAAATACGGGAACACTGTATTTTCTACAAATTCCGTGCCTTTTATTGTCTAAAAATAAAGCCTAGTCTTTTTCTTTCTAATACCCCCTGTTGTAATGATACAACCAAAATATAATCTTTCTCTACAAATTTTCCTACTTCTTTGTCTGGCAAAACATTGGTTTAGGTCACTGACTCTGCTTTTTGGAAGGCTGTTAGATTCTTTAGGGATTAGGAGATGTTGCTGTATTTTGGTGTAAAATTGAGAGGTGTCTGGAAGACTAAAGTAGATCTCTTTATGGTTTTTTGCTTGTACAGGCAAAAGCTGTCTCAGGAAGGCAGCGCTCCTTGTGTTACTGTAATGAAGTTCAGCAGCTTTGAAGGACCTTTTATCTCTTGACACATTGAGTGATCTTTTAATCAGTGGTGACTGAACTGTTTTTTTCAGCATGTAATTGTCCTCGAAAAGTGTCTGGTTTGAGTGCCTTGGATTTTTCCTCTTTGTAGGGTAGTTTTGGAAAACGTTCAGACAGCCCATCAGCTGCTGCCGATGCCGATGCTTCTGATGTGCAGTCGGTGGACTCTAGCTTGTCCAGGAGAGGAACTGGAACGAATAAAAAAGACACTGTTTGTCAGGTAAATGACTGTGCTGTAATGAAATGAATACTGGAGGTGCGTCATCCGTTTCTGTTAGCTTCAGCTGACAGACTTTTCAAATTACACTACTTTGTTTTAACCACATCTCGTAATTCAACATCTCGGATAAAATAGCAAGGCTTTTGGGAGTCTTTATGCTCTGGAAATGGTTCATAAGCCCTCCTGCATTCTAGAAAGCTGAAAAGCTAGAAAGTGGTATCTAATCCATACCTGCTAGCACAAGTAAAAAAAGTAGATGCCGTTTTCTGCTTCATTCAAAGCTTTCAGATAGTCTTTTGGGGTAAGACAGAGTAAGAATTTTCCAGTATTTTGGAGAGAAAATCCTGGAATCTTCTGGCTGGTTTCCTGGTCGATAGTGAGGGAACAAGCTGCTCTTGCTCTCCAGGTGTGTGAGAAAACGAGGAGTCCAGTTGGACCCTGCAGTGCCTCTCCTGTCTCTGTCCAGGCTCGGGCTGGTACGAGAGCAAGATGTGGAAGGTGCTGGGGTTGTCTTCAGGCCGGAGACTTGCTGGGTCTGCCATGGGGTGTAGGCCAGGTCTCCTGCCTTATTGTAGCTCTGAAGAGATTCCAGCCAGTTTCTAGTCTTTGCTAACATCTGGTAGTCATTTGTCTTTCAGTGTGTCGGGTACCCTGTGGTCTCTGATTAGCTGTCTGTCTGTTTAAGATCTGCGAGAGCTCGGGTGAGTCTCTGGTGTCCTGTGAGGGTGAGTGTTGCAGCGTCTTTCATATGGAGTGTCTTGGCCTGAAGTCAATGCCCGATGAGAAGTTCATCTGCACGGAGTGTAAAAACGGTGAGTGTGTTCCTGTGTCTGACACATGGCGAGGGCTTTCCTGCTTGGAGGAGCCGTGCTCTGTTCAGAGCAAACTGAGGTGGCAAGTTTCCAGGTTTGGGGAGTGTGTTTGGGTTATTCTGTTACCTTTTTAACCTCTGAGGCCTGATTCTCATTCTTAGCAAGTACCTGGTAAGACAAAAAGCAATAAACTGTTCAGTGTTTCGCTCAGAATAAGGGACTTCAGTGTTAACAGCATTACATAGTTACTGTGGATTGTAGTAACCCACTTGCCTGTTTGAAGGGGGGGAGCCTGTGTTGCTCAAACCAGCGTAACTCTTCGCTTCAGAATTTTTTTTTTAAGAACATCTGTATCTCAGATTGGCCATTACAGTTGAGCTTCCTTATTCCTTCTTTTACAAGGAGAACATACGTGCTTTTCCTGTAAACTTCCTGGCAAAGATGTGAAGCGCTGCTCCGTCAACACGTGTGGCAAATTTTACCACGAGGCGTGTGTTCGCAAGTTTGCCACTGCTCTGTTCGAGTCGCGAGGATTTCGTTGCCCGCAGCACTGCTGCACTGCCTGCTCGATGGATAAGGACATTCATAAAGCAAGCAAAGGTGAGAGCAGAGCTGCTTCGAACAGCGGGAGGGAGCTCGAATGTGTCCTCGCATAACAAGGAGAATCGCTCTATCCCCTGTAATGCAGCGTGCAGAAAGGAGCCAGGGTTTGCTGCGTAATGAGGTCATGGAGTGAAATCTGTCGAGGGTGGGAAAGCAGCTGGCAGCCTGATACCGCTGTCGAGGCGTACCGGGATCCGCAACGCTTCAGTCGTCCTTTGTTGCTGGGCTTAATGGGAACTAAGGGTCGGTAGTGCAGGGCCAAGGAATGGCTTTTGAAAAGGTGGTTGGTAGTGGCCTTTAGAACAATTACTTTTCAAGAAAAACAGAATCCTTTTAGGAATTAACCAAAGTATTTGAACAAAACAAGTAGGCTCTAGAATGATTAAAACTATGTATTTTTTTCCTAACAGAGTTTTAAAGTGAATGTTAAGAGTTAACTTTTGTGAAACTTTTTCTCTAAAAGACGTGAATGTTTCTTTAAATCTAGTACTCTGACTGGAATAAAAGTCAGCCTTGCGTCTGTCTGTGGTGTCTTCTGCCATAGCCTGACTCCAGGCTGACGCGGTGCATTTCTCTGCGTTTGTATTGCACAGGTCGCATGGTGAGATGTTTCCGGTGTCCCATTGCCTATCACTCGGGAGATGGCTGTATTGCTGCAGGAAGCTTGTTTGTGTCATCCCACATTCTCATCTGTAGTAACCATTCCAAAAGGAATCACTCCTCATCAGCTGTAAATGTAGGCTTTTGTTTCGTTTGTGCAAGAGGTGAGCACACTTGTTTTTTCCCCTGTTTTATAGTTCTTCTATGGTCTCCTGTGCAGTTTAGTGATAAAAATAATGTATTTTGTAGAGGAAAAACTCCCTTAGGCCTCTCTGGGACTTAAATGCTGCCTGTGATATTTTTTTTTTCTTTTTTTTTTTTTGTTAGTCAACAGTTCTCATGAGACTTCCGCTTGCTCTTTTGGTCTGTAATATTTGATACTCAGAAACAGCGATAGGTACTCAGAAGGCCTACTTGTGTTGCCAGTAGGAAAAAGTGGATGCCAAGCCCCCAGTTCCAGCCGTTGCAAGCTGAGAATGGATGCTGTGTTGTTATTCACTGTCTATTAAGCAGAAGGAGATTCTTTCACCACTCAGACTTAAAAGTGTTTAAATTTTTAAGGCTAAAAGGTAGGATTTACTCATGAACTAGAAAAATTTGTTTTAATTTATAACTACCATCACATTTGAGAACTTTGAAAGAAAAACATTTACAATACTGTATAAACAGGTTTCATGCTGGGATTTTCCATATGCCAAAGTTATCTTTTTTTTTCTTTTTCTTTTTTTTTTTTCCACCTGTTATTTTATGGCTCTTGAGTCAGTCATGTTCTGCCAGATAGCAAATTGATAAGTTTTGGCATGTCAGTTGCTTTAGTTGCAGAATACAAAAATAGCATTATTCTCTCAGACTAATCAAAGCGCCACAGCTAGGTGTTTGAGTAGTAATACGGATTTTAGACAGTATTTCAGAAGCTTATGTTGGATGTGTTCTTCTCAGCAGCTTTGAAAGTAGCTAATAAGGAAGTGAAAATGAGATGAATCCTGAATTTACTTGTTTTCACTGGTGTTCATTCAAGTGAAGGTTTAGTATGGGAAAGATTGCCTTGAATTTGGAAGAGCAGAGTAGTAATTAAAGACCTTTGAATAGGAAGGGAAAGATGGTGCCAGAGTAATTTCATTTCTACCTCTCTCGTTTCTTCCCCTTTCCTCGTTCTGAGTAATTTAGGAGACATCACAAAGAATCAATAAAATTAAAAAATAAAAATACAGAAGCTCAGTGAAACAGGAGGTTTTAGAATGAGCCTTAGAAAAGCTCTCCGACTGTGTAAAAAGATATTTAGAACGTGGGTTGGTGTTTCTCCTTTTGTGGGCTTGTTTAAACATTTTGGGGCCACCCCCAAACAGGATACGTGTGGTGTGGGTCATAGTAGTGTTGCAGAAATGTACCTGTGCAAATTTGTCGTTGTATGTGTCTTTATGCTGTCTTATTTTAGGTTGTTCGGTAGCCTTGTATGTGTTTGGTGTTTAGTTGGGCTGACGGTATTATTACACGTGCAAATGCCCAGTCTGGACAGCAAAACCAACGCGGCTGCTGTGACCTTGAAGCAGAGCTAGCTGAAAGCGTGTGATGTAGCGTTCTGTTCGCAGATGTGTGCTTTGGGGCATTCTGCATCGGATGCCGACTCTGAGAGAAACGATTACCTAGCCTTCAAAATTATTAATTTAACCGATAGTTGCATCCAAAGGCCCAGTGTAAACACGTGGAAAGAAATTGTTTTCTAGAGCTAGAGTAGGATCATTCAAAACAATTTTTGTGGTAGGTAGAGCAGTTCCATAACACTTTCAGCACTTTGGTTTTGTGGTTTTTGTCTCAGTTGTCCGGAGTCGGTCTGGTACCAGGATCAGATACAGGTTTATGGCAGAAGAGTTTCTGTGGATCTTCCCTGGTTTGAATGTCAGATTAGAAATGTCTCTTGGCAAGGTCCAACGGGGGCTTTAGTCTGCCCCTGTAAGTATTAATGTGAAGAATTCTGTGTGTAGGGTGGTGTCTTGTCCTGCCACTCTGCTTCTGCGTGAGGTAGCTCACGATCTTGGCCATTAGAGAGCCGCGCTGATGCCAGTGAAAGCTGTGTTTGTACTAAGACGTGAATGGAAAGCAATGGCAGGCTGCTGCTGTTTGGTTTTATCCTAAATATTTTGTTTTCGACAATTTCAAAACACTATCAAGCTGTAGTATCAAAATACATTGCATGATACAAAACAGCTACTACAGATGCTTGAAGCTGACTTAAGATACAAATATTGTAGAAGAACCTACTCTAGCTTCTAAATCTGCAGTAGTTTATTACAGATACATATGAAGGTGAATCTCCTTGGGGGTTTTTTCTCCAAGTTTTGGCTGCTTACCCTGTGACACAGAGATGTATGATAGAGGCCTCCTACTTCTCTTGGGTAGAACCTATTGAAAAGCTTTATGAAAAGGAGTACCTGCTATTTGGCATCCATCGTAAGTATATGGCGCAGAAAGCAGAATTCAGGAGTAGGATTCCGAAACTGAATTACAGTAAGGGAGTCTTATGCTTGCTGAAGATGCAGACTTGCATTTATTTCTTAAAAAATAAGTGAAGTGCAGGAAAAAGTTTTCATGCTTTTTTGTTTGTTTTTTCCCACTTGACATTGTTTTAGTCATTCTGTTTACACCTGAATAAGCCTCATCAGAGATGAGACTACAGAAGTCTGTGTTTTCTTCTGGCAATAGAAGTAGCCTCTGAACCCCAGCAGATGGAATTTCCTGTCCTGGATGTTCACTGAGCCTTAGTTATGAGAACTTGATGAGTTACAAACTGCTACCACTGACTGAATCCTCTGTATTTTACAGCAACTATGTACTTGTTCTTCTAGACAATTTTTTGTGGGGTTTGTTTCTACTAGGCGTAGCTGGAATCGGGAGCCAGTGTGCTTCACCGAAGAAAGATTGTGCGAGGTTTACAGTTAGCAAACTCCCCCGGATGGGTTGCATTGAGTCCTGTCTAGTCATATGTGGTCAGCATGAGGGACATAAGGTGAGGACAGCACCCATGGCAGGAGCGCGGAGACCACCTGCTCAGAAAGAAATCGGGAACTGAATGCTTGAGAAATACTTGGGCATCTGTATGCGAGAACGGTTGTTTAATTAGCTTTAATTGCTATCAGAAGGAGAAGCTTTGTCTTTAGATGCAGAACGTACTGAAATGAGAAAATGTAGGTATGAGACAATCTGTGAAATACACAAACTTGTTTATCGTGAGGTACTTGAAATACGGTATGTGTTAAGACTTCTTGTTCACCTTCCTGAAATCCTCTTCATTAAGCACATTATCGTTCACATAATTGCATGCGTGGGTCATGCTTGGTTTATGAATCCTCCTGAGGAGACGCTTTCCAGGTAGGATGATGCTGTTCTCGTGACAGCAGGTCTTTAGGCACCCCAGTCCGAAAGCTTCTCTACAGCACTCGGCTCTGTGCGTGTCCCACACAAGGAATGGGTGGCTATCTTGGTAGCTCATCTTTCCTGCTTCTTTGGGTCCCAGTTGCTCTGCTCTTCCTGTGAATTACTGGCCAGTCGCTTCTGACCTGTAGCTGTGGGGCTGTCGCCTGGGCTGCCCGGCTCTGCGGAGCAATGAGGAAGAACTCTTCTTGCTGGAGAAGGACGGTGAAACGGAACACGTTTGAAATGAATGCCTGTAGGAGAACAGAGCGTGTGGCTGCTCCCAAGTGTTGCATTTGGTAGCTGTGAGAGGGCAGGCTTGGTGGAGCTTTGCTTGAAAACAAATGACATAGGGCAGAACTTTCATCCGTTCTTTCCCCTCTGGTGCCTTGCAGAATCACTGACCCTCCCTTGTTATTTTTTTCTGACACAATTATAAAGGCAAAAGACTTCCATAGATAAGATCTTAGAGATAGATTTGTAGTAGGTGGGGTGGTGAGTTCTTGTATGCAACATCTGCTTTTTTTCAGTTTGTAGTGCCAGCTAACAGCATGACCTCTGATGCAGTGACCATCATCCCCCAGCTCTTCAAATTAGCTTGCTTTTTTCGTTTGGGGGGGAGGGCAGTTCACACAGGTACAAAATTGGTTGCTTTTCTTGTGCTTGTCTATAGATGCACGAATTAAGGGCAAAAGCACAATTGAAATTCCACTTAGAAGCAGCTTATTCATCATAGGCTTTCCCAGTTACATTTTAATTTAGTCTCTCAAACACATAACCTCTTTCTTAGTGAAGAAACTTTCTGTCAGACTTTTCTTTTTCTTCATTTTATCTTTTTTTCATTCACGCATAAATGCATTAGAGGTGTTTATTTTATTTTCTCCTTTATGGAATCATGGGTAGTTTCATTGCAACTCATCTCTTTCTGTTTGTTTCGTATAGGGCTGGTAGTGCAGGATCATTCAGACCCCCTGTTCAGTTCATATGCCTATAAGTCCCACTACCTACTGAATGAATCAAATCGTGCTGAGTTGATGAAATTACCTATGATTCCTCCTCCTTCGTCAGCTTCCAAAAAGAAATGTGAGAAAGGTAACCAATATAGTTTCTTTCTCTTCAATTTACTTTCGCTTTTTCTATTATTTCTCTCTTTAAATCAAACAAGAAGTGTCTGCTTGTCAAGCACCACGTATTGCTTTTCAGTAAACTTCACTCATTGATTATTGTGAGCGTGCGTTCATGTTGTTGGCAATTTTTTTTATTACAAAAGGGCTTAAAATAATTACTGTCACTAAATTCTCCTTGAAAGAGGTTAAATCACTTTGTATCTGGCCGAGGCTATTCCAGCTTCAGGGAAGCTGCTGACACAGCGATGTGGAGAGGTGGCAAGCAGAGCTTGATAGTGGTGCAGTTCAGTGCTTACCAGGACGATGCAGAACAGCTTCTTCAACTGGTCTCCTCCGTGGAAGAAGAGGGAGGGGGCTCCGTTTCGGATCTGCTAGGTGGCTTACGCAGAGCCGGAGAGAAGAAAGGGCTTTCCAGGTGGAAGGCGGGTGGGTCCTGTGGCCATCCAGAGGATGTCTGAGGGGGGAAGGCAGCCAG